GCAGAGAAGAGAGTCACTAATACTTAGAGCTCAGAGCTCTGGCATTCATACTCAGAGTAATTAACATAATGAGCTACATTTTGCCTAAGTGTGATTTCTATCCAAACAGAACAAATGAACCTTTACTTGATTGGTAACAAGTGGGTGGGCCCTATTCCAATACGACTGTCCTCATTTCTCCTTTAATATCAAGAGGAGAAAGGCGGACACAGACAGAAAAATACACAGAGGGAGGATGATATCAAGGACAAGGAGAAACTGATCACTTCAAGCCTGGTCATGATAGCTATCATCAAGCATACAAAAACCAATAAATGCTAGCAGGTATAAAAGGAACTTTCCTACGTTGGTGGTGGGAATGTAAGCTACTATGGAAATCCATACAGAGATTCCTTTAAAAAATTAAGCATAGAAGCACCATTTATTCCAGCTATATCACTCCTGGGTACAGTCCCCAAAACAAGTAAAGTCAGCATAGCATACTAATATATTCAGACCCATGTTTATAGTGATACAATTCACAATGGCTAAAGTGTGGAAACAGCCTAGATGACCATCAACAGATAACTGGATGTGTTGGTTTGGGGGTTATTGTGCAAGGTGAAACAACATAATACAGGACACATACTTTATAAGATTATTTATAATAGTCACCCAAAGAAGGATATACAAAAGTGTTCAGGAAATCTGTCCACACACCAAGACCAAGGAAACTAGCCAAGAAATGTCCTGCGTGAGTCTAGCTGAGGGCCTAGAGCTCATAACAGTGCCTCCCACGAATCCAACTGGAAGCCCAGAGCCCATAACAATATCTCATGCAGGCCTGTTTCACGGATCTGCTGGGAAGGCCCAAAGGTCAGTGGCGGAATCTAGGAAGTCTGTGCCAGCAGGATGAAGGATCTGTGCTAGCAGGCTGAGGGATCTGCACTGAAGCAAGGAAATGACGCTCAGAAGAACCAGAGCTCCCCAAAAAGGTGCCACAGCCATCCTCAGCAACAGTGAGGTCCCAAGCTTCTCCGATGATCAAGATGGCAGAGTTCCCATCAGGGAAGCCAATGCAGCAAGCTTCTCCAGGAAACCGCAGGCAGTGCACCATCTTCCCCTCTGGAGCCAGGAAGAGATGCTCAAAGTGAGGACCAGAGCTCCCCCAAAGTGAACCAAAGCCAATCTCAGTGCCAACAAGGTCCCAAGCTCCTCGCAGAATGAAAACAGCCAAGTTCATCAGGAAAGCCAGCCTGACGAGCTCCTCCAAAACAACCAACAGCTCCTTACAGCATCTAACCAGCTCCCAACAGCCTTCCTCAGTTCCCAGAAGCCTTTTTTCTTCTTCTCCAGGTCTGCCTCATATGCTGCTGGCAACAGTCCCCAGGTGGGCCTCCCACACCCAGCACCACGCTCACTCAGTTCAGCTGGGGGTTATAAGTTGACCACCAGTTATCAATCCACTACACTGGATAAAGAAAATGTGGTGTATATATACACAATGGAATGTTATTCAGCCATAAAGAAGACTGAAAATATGCTACTTTCAAAACAGTGGATGGAACTAGAGACTATCACATTAAGTGAAATAAGCCAGACTCAGAAAGTTAAGTATCACATTTTCTCTTGTATGAGAAACTGGAGGTAGGGACTAGAAGGTAGACTTTTGGAAATGAGGAAGGAGGTCAGAGGAAGGGGTAACAAAAGGAGAGCGGGTAATGGCATAGAAAAACATCAAGGTATGTTAGGTGCATGTACCAATTTACCAAAATGAACCTCACCATACTGTATTACTAGTGCTCTTTGAAAAAATTAAAAAGGAATAAATTTGTCTTTATAATTTATTTATTTTTATTACTACTATCTTTATTCACCATAGGGAGTTGGTACAACACATATTGCATCTTAGTCCTTTTTATTTCAAAGGGGAAAATTTGGACACACACACACACACACACACACACACACACACAGGCATGCACAGAGGGAAGATAGTAAGAAGGGATGGAGAGGAGATTTCCATCTACAAGCCAAAGAGAGACACCTGGCACAGATTTTCCCTTACAACTCTCAAAAGGAAACAACTCTGGCAACACTTTGATTTTAGATTTCCAGACACAAGAAATGTGAGAGGCTACCTCTTGGAAGACAGCTATGTGGCAGGGATTTGAAGAAGCAAGGCACGTGCCAGTCACAGGATAGGAAAGGAGGAGGGAAGACAGCAGAGCCTGGAGGTCAAAGTAGGTGGCTGGGAAGCTCCTCGCACCACATATGCTCTCCGGGTCTCGCTCATCCATAGGTCCTACACTGGCAGTTGTGGCTGATATCCAGGACCCTGCTCACCCCTGAAGTTGCAGAGTGTACTCCAGGAAAACCTGGAGAAGCAAATGCTGGAAGCCTGAGGCCTGAAGGAAGAGCGAGTGGCTCAGACTCTTGGGCCCCCTACGGACTTGGACTATCTCTTGATATTTGTATTAACTGTTCCTAACTCTTTTAACCATTTGGAGGGTTTTAATACATTTTTATATAAAATTAAAGAGTTTTTACAAATACCAGTCTTACTGTGGCACGTTTCCTACTAAAAATAAATATTTATTTTTCCCTTATTTCCCAGAATCAGTATCAATTCTGAAAGAATATCAAAATAATCCTTTCACACTGACATATTTGGCTACTGAAAGTTGAGAGAGTTGTAATTTGAACCTCCAGGTCCACGTGGCCTCCTAGGTCTGAGGGAGGGAAGGATTGGGCAAGGACCAAGGTTCCTAAGCAATGACAAAACTGGGGGGCCAGACACCATCGATCCAATATTTGAGGTGAATTTCTCACTGCCTTTTCTATAATTTGCTCCTGCAAGCAGGTTCATAACCACAGAGCACACTAAACATGGCATGCCCTGTTTGTGAAAAGACACAAATCAAGATAAAATTGCCAAAGCTTCCAGAATGTGCCAGGCCAACAAGGATGACCCTGACCCATGCCTGCACCATCATAATAGACCACTTCTCGTAAAGCCTGGGTGCACTGCCCCTCACTTCACTGCTGGGACAAGACTGGAATTGGCTGCAACACTTTGTGAGGTGCTCCCTCCTTCCCACCTCCTGAAGACCCCAGTGAACTTTTCCCCATAGTCCCAGGACCTAAACATATCTGAAGCTTAATTATTTCCCATCCCCTCAATAAATCACATGCCTATTGTTAGTGTTTTGACTCTTAGGACATAAAAAAAAACAAACAAAACATAATACTTAGGACTACAATATAATGTAATTGCAAAGCTTTTGTCTTAAATTGTTCTTTAGGTTTTAGAAATATTTCTGGGGGCTCTAAAAGGGAATAGTATTCTTCCTGAAGTAAGTTAACTAAGTCACTATCTCTTAATATTTTTAGTAACTGGTCCTAAACATTTTTTATCCATTGGAAATTCTTTTCAAAAAAAAATTTAAAGAGAATAATAAAAAAAAGAACAACAGCAAAATACCAACAATGTAGACAAAAATGAAACAAAGTAAAAGCAATAAACATGATACAGGGTTTCAGAACAAAATGATAGGAATTAATAGTGGTTGTTATATTACATATTGCTATCTTCAATGAAGTCGCTTAGATTACCAAATGTAAGACTGCAAGATTCATCAAACCATTCAAGAGAATGAAAAATAAAAACAAGAGAAACATTGGAAATGATACAGAGTTTCACTAGACGAGATGATAGGAATTCACCAATGGTTGTTACATTGTATACTGTTGTCTTCAAATTAGTTGTTCAGATTACCAGATGTAAGCATGTAAAATTGGTCAAAAAATTTTTTTAAATTAAGCCTTAACTGTTCCTTTCAATAAACCATTAGACATGAGCAGTACAGTCATCCCAGCTGTCCATATATGTTTTTTCTCTTCCTTCTTTCTTTGTTTTTCTCCTTTCCCTCATCCCAGTTGTTCCTTTGCCTTTCATAATATCTTTTGTACGTTTTGGGTTTATTCACTCTTTCATGTTCTTACACTAGGGAGACAGTAGGATGTTGGAAGTTCTAAACATGTTTCTACATAAACATTAATAACTCTGTTAACCCCTTTCTTATAGTGGCATTATCCCTACTAAAACTAAATACTGGGGGCTGGGGATTTAGCTCAGCGGCAAAAGCGCCTGCCTGGCAAGCGCAAGGTCGTGAGTTCGGTTCCCGGTACCGGAGAAAAACCAAAAAAAAAAAAACAAAAAACAAAAAAACCGAAATACTAGCTGGTACCAAAACCCATAGGAGAGTACCAACTATTAAAGCACACGAAGTGGATCCTTCATTTACACAAAGAAAACTCACACACATATGAAGTACAGTTCTCATCTGTGCACACATCTGAATGACGTGTCTTGTTCATGATACTGACAGGGATAAATAGATCAGCTATGGGATGCTCCAAATGCCACTTAAGAGGGCATCCATCTCTTCCAGACCATGGGGGATGCTGGGAGGATGCTGGTGCGATGATGTGCCCGGAACATGAAGCCTGGACTGAGGAGCCACAGCTGTGCATGAAGACTGAGGAGGACAAGTAGTCTACTAGATGGGTAAGTGGAGCCCGCCATAGGAAGACGGGGAACATAAGAATGGCGAACCAGGAACATGTGAGGTCATACAGGCAGGCCATTGGTTCAGTGAGTAAGGGCCAAAGGCTTAACCCCCTAATGTGTATGAATAGGCTAGGCTACCTAGCCCAGGACAGGCTACCTCCAAGGGAGGAAGCCAGGTCACTTGAAGATGTACCACACTGCCTGCATTGCACGTCTTCAGCAGTAACGACTAGCAAGCCTTCTCGGGCTACAGAGCCAGTGCTCGCACTATGCACATGCGCAGCTTTTACCCCTGCAGACTATCAGCGCATGCGTGCCTTCGGACCCAATTCTCATTGGCTTCTCAGTGGCCAATGAGGTGCCGCGATTCTCCAGCCTCATCCAATGAGACCAACCACTACTTTAGCACCAACCAATGGAACCTCGAGTATTCTGTTGGCTGCTCTTGGTCCCGCCTTCCGTTCCTCTGGAAGCCGCGAGAGAACCAGGAGGGTTGATAGAGCGTAGAACCCATATTTGCCGTTGAAAGATTCTGGTGAGGTTCTGTGGAACCGAGCGAGAATTTTGCTGCCGGTGGGGGCGGGGAGGGCGCGGAATGGAGGAAAGGGACCTGGCTTTATAGAGAAGAGAAAAGAGAAAGGCAGGGCTTAGCGTCCCAGCTGAGGGAAGTGGGGCCAGGAACAGATTCCGCTTCAGAAAAGAGGGTAGGGGCCGGGGGTGTAGCTCAGCGGCGCAGCGCCTGCCTGGCAAGCGCAAGGTCCTGAGTTCGATTCCCGGTACAAAAAAAAAAGAGAGAGAGAGAGTAGCGGGTGGGAGCCCTCGTAGCCCGGGAGGAGAGCCGTGGCGGGCACCGACGGGTCCGAGCAAGGAGGACCGGCCCGGACCGTTTCTCAGAGGCGGGCTGAGCCGGGGCTGAGGGAGGCGAGCTAGGACCCGAGCGCTGGTCTCGCGCGAGGAGGGCTGGAGCCGGCGCCCCTCGGGCTGAGGGAGAGGGGGCTAGGCGGTGGTGGGGAACCTGTGGCTCCCGTGTCGCGGCTGGGTGTTTGTTATCATTGAAAGCTCTACAAAGCTCTTCATCACTGGTCTGGGGTCCGGACCGTGGGTCAGAGGGCGGAGGGGCTGGGGCTTTGGCCTCTAGGTCTGAGGGAGCGGGGGCCAGGCTTGTACCCCTGGGTTTGAGGGACGAGGGGCTGAAGCCTGGGGGCTGGACTGCTGCGGGTGAGCAAAGGGTGGAGAGCTAGGACCTGGAACCTTGGGTCAGAGGGAGGAAGTGCTGCAGTTCTTGATCCTTGCATTGAGGGTCATAAAGTCCCTGAGGTCCTAGACCCCTAGGTCTGAGGGAGGAGCTGTGGACCCGGATCCCTGGGTCTCAGTGAGAAAGAGCTGGTGTTTAAGCTCTGGGTTGGAGGAAAGAGGAATGGGAACCTGGATGTTTGGGTCTGAGGGAGGAAAGGTTTGAGCCTGGGCTCTTGTGTCTGAGGGTAGATCACTGTGGGTCCGGACCTTGATTTTAGAGACAGTGGGCTGGGGCCCAGGTTTACAGGTTTGCAGGAAAATGCCCTAATCCCAGAATCTTGTGTCCTGGGGTAAAAGGCAGCTGGAACCACACTCCTGCATTTCTAAGTGGGATAGATCTGCACTGTCAGTAATCAAGGTTCTGCTATAGCCGGGGACTAGAGACTAAGATACTGAGTCCTTTAGAGTGTACTGGTTTTAACTTGGACTCCTGAGTCCTGGGAAATAGCGTCTTTGGACCCAGATTCTTGGATCCAGAGGTTAAAGTGTATGTGATGCTGAATTTCTCAGTTTTAGTTAAGAAGTGGTTGGGCCTGAGTATTACTAAGTCCTGATAAACTTATTAACTTGGCCAAACTCCTCAGTTAGTTAGGGATAGACTTCAGAAGTTACAGTCTGATCTGTCCTAAGTCTACCCCAAAGTCAGTCAGTACTTGCTGAAAAATCTAAATTTAATCTCTTTTTGGTTTATAAATTGCATTTTTAATATCAAATCATAGATTCTGATCAACCTTTCCCATCCTATGAGAAGTCATGGGCCGTTTCCAGGATCTGCTGCTCCTCTTCCTCCTAGGGTGCGCTTCCTTGACCAGTACGTATGTGGGAAACAGGGAAAGAACAGCTGGGTCACAGAAGATGGATTTGGGGTTTTTTAAAAAGAAAAGAATGACTTTGGCTCCCGAGAATGGCAAGTGCTCATCTTTGTTTCCTTCTCTTCCCAGTGGCACAGAATTTGCTTTGTCATAAAGGTGTATTTACGACTTTACTAGACGACCCAAGAAATTCATCTAACTGGACTGGAGGGGAAGTTGAGACTTGCGATAAAGGGGCACTTTGCCAAGAAACTATACTAATGATTATAGCAGGTAAAATGAAAATTGGGCAGTTGAGTGGGCGAGAGGGTGATTATATCACTGCTGTTTCTCCTTCCCCCGGCCAAACATTAGGCTCACTGTCCACTTTCCTTCATTGCTGTCTCAGCAGGAGAGAAGACAGCCATTTTGGCCACAAAGGGGTGCATCTCGGAAAAGACAGAATCAGTGACATTTATCCAACACTCTCCACCGCCTGGCCTCGTGGCAGTCTCCTACACTAACTACTGTGAGAGTCCCCTCTGCAACAAAAGAGAGAGCATAGCTTCATTTTGGAAACCAGAAGTGACTACAGGTACCCAGGGAAAAGAGAAACTCGGTGAACACCTGAAGAGACGGTTTCTTTCCTGTTTGTGTTCTTACTGGCTTAGGCCCAAGGTGGCCATACACAAAAGGGTCCTCCAGTTCAACCAATTATCTTTAAGAAGTGTTACATGTGAGTCAGAGTACTTCAGTGAAGGCTGAAGTGTAAACTGAGTTTGTGTTTATTAAGTAGTAAGGTATCTGTAGCTTTCTGAGCAGGATAGTAGAATTATCAGGCTAGCAATTATTGGTTCCTTTTTTCTGTATGACAACAGCCCACTTCCCTAATTAGCCTCAAGCCCAATAGTAATCTGATCCTGCCTATCTTTGCAGCTTCATTTCCTTCTCTTGCATCTCATTTATTGTATTCTAGCTGGGGCTAGTACAGTGGTACCTCAGTTTGCAAGCTTAGTTCTTTCCACAATTCTAGTCACAAACCTAATTGGATGAGAATCAAATTAAATTCAATAGTTAGGTTCAGGCTGGGCATGGTGGTGCATGCCTGTATAGTAATCCCAGCACTCGAGAGGCTGAGGCAGGAGGATCATTGAGAGTTCAAGACCAGCCTGGGCTACAAAGTGAGTTCAAGACCAATCTGAGCTGCATAGTGAGACCCTGTCTCAAAAAGACAAAAAAAAAAAAAAAAGTTAGATTCAATGTTGACCTTATGGGGAAATCAGATTCAGTTGTTATCCAATTCGGCTTGTGACCAGAATTGTGAAAAGAATTAAGTTCTTGAACTAAGGTACCAGTGTATTCAGAATCTTTAACAAAGGAGATGGTACTGGCCATTAACAAAACAGTTCAGCCTTGCCTGTGCCTACCAGCTAAATATCAACCTGCACCTCCTCACAATTCTTCAGATGCACCAAACTGGCTAGGGGCTGGGGATTTAGCTCAGTGGCACAAGTGCCTGCCTGGCAAGTGTGAGGTCCTGAGTTCGATTCCCAGTACCAAAAAAAAACCCAAAACCACCAAACTGGCTCACGTCTCCTAGCCTTTGCCCTTGTGGCTTCGTTTGCTGCCCCACTGTAACATATTCAGCCTCTGTTCATTCTCCCTCTCAAGTCAAGTTTCAGCTCTTTGAAAATACCAAATTCATTTAGGTAGTTAGATATTCTTCCATTCCTATGCCATTATATTTTGAACATACTACACGTTTTTATTCTTGTACACAAGATACTAGGGCTGTATCTTTTAGAGTTCGGAAGTTGTGTAGATGAGGCTCTGACACACAGACATCAGCTGGAGAGGCATGAGGAGGCTGCAGTAATGGGTGTAGAGTATTACCTGCAGAAAAGACTTGGGGAAGAAAACACAGCAAGAAGAGACTTCTTTAGCAACAAGCCATGTCCTTAACTGTCTGTTTGCCCTTCCAGCTCCCAGTGTGCGAACCCTCCACTGCCCAACCTGTGTGGCTCAGGGAACCTGTTTCAATGCTCCTTTGCTGCCGTGTCCCCATGGTACAACTCGATGCTATCAAGGAAAACTTAATTTCTCTGGAGGTAAACTAAAATGGACATACAATAGAGTCAGAAAACCAGACATCTGAGTAGACTCCTAGAAGTTCTGGCACTTGGGATTTCAGGGATGAGGGAGGACTGGATTTCTTCTGGTTTACTAAAATCCCTTGGTCTCCCATCCTTCTTTATTTTATAGGAGGCATCAACTCATCTCTGGAGGTGAAAGGCTGTACAGCCACAGCTGGTTGCAGGCTGATGGCCAGGATCTCTGAAGTAGGACCTATATCGATGACGGAAGTGTGTCCACGTCAGCTTCAGGCTCAAGCCCGGAAGGCTGCAAGTGGAGCCAGCTGGTTTCCCGTTTCAGTTTGGAGGTTAACGCTACGACTGTCATTGCTGCTGCAATCACTTGTCCTTTTTTTCTGAGAAGATGCTTCTGCTCCTGGGTCCCAAGACACTTTTTTTGACTGAGAACTTTCTGACTGCCTGTTTCTAACCAAGTTGAAAAAAAAATGGAGAGTTGAAGATGAATAGAAAGAGAGCTGCCATGGATGTACTTGACATGTTTAATAAAGTTTCTGATTTGTATATTTTCAAGACTAGAAATGGAATTTTGGTGCAGAAAGGGCCCTTAAAATGTGTATTCTCCAACACACACATTTTCTAGGCAGGGAATCTGAGACCTGGAAAATTCTGGTGAGCTTCTCACACCTACAGAGCTATGTGCAGAGCCGAGACGTGGACTTAGATGTTTTGACTTAATGTCTGATTTTCCTTTCACTGTAATCTGCTAACTTCTTTTGCTTACTAGAGAAGTGAGTAGCAGCAGCTTCCTTCAGAGCACTCCCAGCCCAGTCCTAAGGCCAAGGTCATTTGTTTTGTGCTTCTAGTATTTCACTAGGTGGTATGACAGAATAAGAAAAATCAGACTCTAAATTTTCTATTATAATGGGTCCATCTTCCCATGTCCTATCTCTCCCTTGCCTGCTCGGCATCATTCGCTCCTTTCTTGATGGCTTACTTAATGATCTTTTTGTGGGCAGGAAAATTGGGAAGGAACGAGGACTTGGTAGAGTATGATAAATGGAGTCCTCAAACTATTAGGAAACTATTTTGGAAAATTCTCATGTTCATTTATTACTCAAGGACACATAAAATCTTACTGTAAAAAACAAGCCTCAAATAATACATGAAGTAAATAGAACAAAGATAAAAGGAGGGAAGTTGGGAGGAAACATCCTTTTAAATCTTTTTTAGAAACAGTTTATCAATAAGTAATTGACAGTAAACTTCACTGCAGTGGGGAAACTAACACAGACTCTTGCCCGTGTCCCAAAAGGCTGAAGTCTGTTCCAACTCAGTTCATTCTAGAAAGTTCTCTGGTTTCATCCACTCTCTTGCAGTTAATGCCCCTCTGCACAAACTTCCTACCTTTGTCCTTAGGCATCCAGTTCCCCCACTGTGTTGGCTAGCTGAATCTTCCCAGAGACGGAGAGGAACCAAAGCAAATCACATTTAACTTAGGAGACATATTAATTTTGGAAGTAACTACTCAGAGCATTTGCTGGTAAATATTACTTGGGGTTTAAAACTACATAATTAGGTGTTTCTCATAGGTCACTGGTTTTCTAATAGTACTGAAGACAGTTGCAAGAGAAATTCCTGAGTGGAGAAAACATATTGCCTTAGTTACTTTTCTCATTGCTGAGACAAAATACCCAACACCCAAAAGATTTGTTTTGGTTCACAGTTTCATAGAGGTTTCAGTCCATAGTCAGCCAGCTCCAAGTTGGGGGCGTCACAGAGGAGAAGCAGAGAAGGCAGAAGGCAGCAAAGGAGTGAAGAAGCAAAGGAGAAGCAGAGAAGGCAGAAGGCAGCAAAGGAGTGAAGAAGCAAGCCACAGCAGCAGCCCTCTCTCTGTCCCTTATATTCCATCCAGGTTACCTGCCTTTAGGGCAGGTAGTACTCACACCCAGGGTGGGGCACCCTTAGTCCCAGCATGGCACACTTAATCCAAGCATCACACACCCTTGGTCCGGCCACCTCCCAAAGTCCCACCTATGACTGCTTGAGGCTTTGGAGGTACATCTCAGTACAAGCCACAACATATAAATTTCACAATTTCAGTTGGTAAAGTGTTTCGGTACTTTAAAAGTCATGGCTTGGCTGGGGATATAGCTCAGTGGCACAAGCACCTGCCTGGCAAGCGCAAGGTCATGAGTTTGATCCCCGGTACCAAAAAAAAAAAAAAAAAGTCATGGCCATAATATTCAGAAGAAGTTTTTGCAACCTGTACACATTTTCAGCCCACAAACTCCCAGTGTGTAGACTTAATATTTTAATGTAAATACATAACATGATAATATTTAATACATTATTTTAAAATAATTTTTATCACAATCACACATTCTATCAAATGGAAGGTAGTAACTTCACTATTTGAATAAACTTAAATCACTTCAGGGTGTTCTCAGTCATTTCAACTTTAAGTTCAGTAAACCCAGGACTTTCCCTTTCCTCTCATGGAGAGCTTATACTACATTCCTGGTGGGAAGGAGGCTACTGTCCAGGTTAGTCTCATGCTGCTCTCACTGCGCATGTCCAAGGTCTTAATGAAGTCTGGAACTTAATGCAGCCATGAACTTCCGTTCATGTTGGCCACCATGGGGAAAACTGCCACGCCCGACTGAGCACTAAGGGGTACCCTCAGGCCCTCTGAGCTTGGCCATCCCTCCCAGGCACTCCAGGAAGACTGCCGGAGACTTCTCTCCAGTAGCCTTCAGGGGGCTTAGGAGTCTGAAGCTGCTGAAGATTCCCATATAGCTGAGGAAATTCCCTCAAGATCTGGAGAAAATCACTTCATAGGCACTTGCTCCCTCCCAACACATCAGGCAAGAGATGGGGCAAAGATCCCAGCATTTATCATCCACTGTGGAAGACCACTATCACACAACCTTCTTTCTTTCTTTCTTTCTTTTTTCTTTCTTTCTTTTTTCTTTCTTTCTTTCTTTCTTTCTTTCTTTCTTTCTTTCTTTCTTTCTTTTCTCTTTTCTTTTCTTTTCTTTTCTTTTTTTTTTGTATTTTTGAGACAGGGTCTCCCTATGCAGTTCAGGCTGGCGTTGAGCTCACTTTGTAGCCCAGGCTGGTCTTGAACTCGCAATGACCCTCCTGCCTCAGTCTCCCGAGTGCTGGGATTACAGGCGTGCGCCACCATGCCCGGCTTCACACGTCCTTCTTAAATCTACTGTTTGCTGCAGTGGTCATGCCATAAGTCCTTCATCCATAGTCTGAAGCTTGAGAAAATTCCATGCTCTGTGAATCAAAATTTAGGCCTCTACAACTTCCATCTCTGCCTCAGTTTACAGTGCCTACTTTGAACTTCAAGGGTGAATATGAAGATATTTCTGTTTGTTCAAATTTCTCTGGTAATAGCCCTGTTGCCTGCACATGGGAGAGAGGCACTAAGTTCCCGGGCCTTCCCTCAGTCACTCACACAAGGGAATTATGCATTTATGTTTTGGATCATTGTGAAGAAGATGAGTGCTGAGTACTTCTGTTTAGCTCTTGCAGATCCCTCTGAATATCAGCCTTGATGACTTCTTTTGAGGTGATGCCAACCAAACCATTTCTCCTCTCGCCTTTCTCTAAAGACCTGGATCAGGAAGGGGAAATGGATAACCCACATTTGGCTGGCTCGTAGATGTATACTGCAATAACATCTCAGAGCTGGGCAAAGTGACCAAATTCCGCAGATTCATGAACTTGTTCTGTTCTGTTCTGTTCTGCTCTCTTCTGTTCTGTTCTGTTCTGTTCTGGTGTTTGAGACAGAGTCTCATTATGTAGCCCAGGCTAGCCTTGAACTTACAGTCCTTCTCCCTCAGCCTCCCCCGTGTGGGAATTATAGGCATGGACTACTACACCTGGGCTCCGCAGACTCCTTTAAATAGTATCCCTGGGACTGGCTCCTACCCTGTACCAGTGCTGTCCCAGCGAAGGCTGTGCTGCCAAGTACCCAGACTTCAGAGCCTCCCCTCTCCTTGCCCTTCCTTCTCTCCACATGGAAAAGGGCCCATGTCCTTGTCCTTCCTTTTATTCTTCACCTCCTCTGCTCAGCTCCAATCAGCTGGTGTCTGCCTCCTGGACCAGAAAGCATCCCTCAGAGTATTTTAACTTAATGAAAACATAAAATATCAGACGTAAACCGGGCATGGTGGTACATGCCTGTAATTCCAGCACTCAGGAGGCTGAGGCAGGAGGATCGTTGTGATTTCGAGACCAGCCTGGGCTACAAAGTGAGCTCAAGGCCAGCCTGAACTGCATAGTGAGACCCTGTCTCAAAGACTATATATTTCCAACACGTGCACACTCACTCACACTCTTGTTTTCTTCTGCTTCCCTTCATTCCTCCATACATTCACTCCCACCCCTTCCCAGAAGAAAAGAGCAGACACTAAATCCTAGTGAACCCCACATCTGCCTAGCCAGAGAAGGTTAAGTGATTGCCAAAAAAAGTATGGATCCTCACCTATAACATGAAATGGCACATGTGATGTTAGCCAAGCCCAGCTACTTTTACCTCTTTAGAAGTAAAAAAAAAAGCATATGTCCACTACAGCTTAAAACAACAGTTTAAAAGTCTTAAAAGCAAAATGCATTTCCTTCACTATGTCTTTTTTTGTTGTTGTGGTTTTTGTTTTTTTTTTCCGGTACCAGGAATCAAACTCATGACCTTGTGCTTGCCAGGCAGGCGCTGTGTCGCTGAGCTAAATCCCCAGCCCCTCCTTCGCTATGTCTTGAAGTAAAACCAAAAGCAGAAAATTCACCCTAAAATGAGTTGCCTTTTTCATTTGATAAAATATATTTGTCACTCTACTTTGGGTATCTATTCAATTACAGTTCAATAAGAAAAGTCCACGAAGCTTGCAGTTGTTCAGAGTACACACTATGGTACCCTAGGAGACCCTCCACAGCTGGCCAGGCTCATGAAATGCCAGGCCTCCTTGTATGTTCCTCCCTACCATCCTTCATGACCAGAGCATGCCAGTGTTACCAGAGGTAACGCAAGTAGAGTTAAACAATGAAAAGAATTTGGTGTGTGTCTTCACCTGCCACATCCCTAGTGATGAAACTAACCAAACCATGCCTCCAGACCTTCCGTAAGATAACCTGAGTCTGCTGACTAAACAGACTGGCCAGTGTGGCTGTCAGTCCACTTTGTCAGAGGTTGAGCTGGAAAGTCAGAGAGCTAATGTGGTGTTCCAGCAACTTGCCTTGTGCAGATGCACCAAGTGTTCTGTGTTTTTGAAATATCCACTGTCCCAAAGGCGGACACCACTGAGGCAGAAATAACTTACAGCATAAAGAGTGCTGAACTTGAACAGCATAACCTATGGGACTGACCACTGGGAGAAGAAAAAGAAAAAACATAAAGATCCTCATTCCACATGATTTGCTGTGAGCTTTAGCTCTGTCTGTATACATTAGTTGCTACAGAAAAATTAAAACAAAAGAATTACTTTGTAACTTTCGTATTTTCAATTACAAGCTCACATGCTCACAAAATACACGCTCTATGAATATGAGGAGCTCTTTGCTTTAA